CTGGCGAAGAATGCTGAAAGTACCATGGACTGCTAAAAGAACTAACAGTTCTGTCTGGGAGGAAATGCAGCCAGAATGCTCCTTGGAAGCAAGAATGGCCAGACTTCATCTCACCTACTTTTGTCATGTTGTCAGAAGGGACCATTCCCTGGAGAAAGATTTCATGCTTGGTAAGGTGGAGGGTTGACAAAAGAGAGGAAGGCCTTTGATGGGATGGATTGACATGGTGGTTGCGACAATGGGCTCAAGTATAGCAGAGATCATGGAGCTGGCGCGGGATCGGGCGGTGTTTTGTTCTGCTGTTCATGGGGTCCCTATGAGTCAGAAATGACTCCATGGCACCTAACAGCAATGACAACAATGCCATAGAAGTTGAGAGAACTAGACATTATGTGACTCCTGATGAAGAACCCAGTACCATCTATAGTATTGCCAGAAAGAGTGAACATGAATCTGATAAAATGTCTGAATCCTGTTGCCAATTTGCAAGAAATAGGACAGAGAAACATGAACTGTACCATGTGTATGTAATCATGGAAATGAATTTGTGGACAACTCCAAAGGTTAAATGCCCTAGGCTCTTTGACTAGTAAGTTATAAGGCAAAGAATGGATGGGATGTGGAACTTGTCAAAGATTAAGAGACTTAAAAGACCTAAATTAAACAAAGGAACAAGACCAAAAAGTGTCTAGGGTTGCACATTTGGGTAAAAATCTATAAAGAAACAGAAGGAAGTGATTACTATAAAATCAGGATGTTGTTTGTTGTTATGTGCCGTCAAGTCAGGATAATGGTCATTTTTGAGGCGGATGGAGGAGTCTGAAATTGAAACAGGTAATATGCAAGAACTTCTGGGGTGGCTGGCACAGTTTTTGACCTGATTTTATGCTTTCAAGGATGTTTGCCTTACATTAATCCATTAAGCATCATTTATTTTGTGTGATTTTCTGCATCAATAACCCCCATTGCTATCCAGTTGACTCTGACTCATGGTAACACTATAGGACAGAGTAGAACTGCTCCATAGGGCTTCCAAGGCTGTAAATCTTTACCAAAACAGACTGCCTCATCTTTCTTCCAGGGAACACTGGTGGATTTGAACCACCAATCTTTTGGTTAGCAGTCAAACGCTTTAACCATTGTGCTACCAGAGCTCCTATGCATCAGTAAAAAGCTTTTAAAAGGCAGCAATTCCTAATGAAATAACGGAGTTAGGTAGTACTCATCAATGGTTGTTAAAACCATTAGATGAAAAGTTAATGGGGAAATTTACAAGGGATGGATAGACTGATATCTGATAGCTGATTTATCCGCATGATGAAATAAAGGTAATCTACAGTATATGTGCCCCGAGCGTGATGCAATTTACTTTCAAATGGTTCAACACGTGTCTGTATACACACACACACACCTACACCCATAGAAAGGGAAAGAGAAAGAGCAGACACGACAAACTGCTAAGAATTTTTGGATTTAGGTGGCAAGTTCTTTAAACTTTTCCATAAACATTACAATTTTCGTAATTAAAACCTGGAGGAGAAAAAGAAAACCGCGCCATTTCTTCCACCGAGCACCTTTGGGCTAGACACGCTCCCGGAACCACCAAGAACCACTCCGCTGCCCCACACTCCCAGCTCTCTGGGACGCCCAGAGTATGTCTGCGCATGCTCAGAGATCTGCAGCACCGTCCCCGCCCCTCGGGCGTACGTGTACGCGCAGGACGCAGGCGCGCGGTCTCGGGGGCCAGTGAGAAGCGGGACGCGGTAGATATTTGAGGTGCGGGAGCTGGGAGAGGATGGAGCCGCCGAAGGTGGAAAAGTTCAGCACTGCCGACCGGGGAAACGGACTTCGCGCCTTGGCTGCGCTGCGCCCCGGAGACCTACTTTTCCGCTCGGATCCTTTGGCATACACGGTGTGCAAAGGGAGTCGTGGCGTCGTCTGCGACTGCTGCCTGCTCGGGTACGTTCGGAGTGCGCTCGCACACCTGGGTCGCGAGCTGCGCAAGTCGGGGAGCTCAGGGCAGGCAACCTGTCTCCGGGACCCCCGTTTGGGCGTGGCTGCACTGGAGCTGCGAGGTGCCTCGTCCCGCTCTCTCCTGACACATTGTTCCTGGGCGCGCAATACGACTGACAGTTCCGTCCGGCCGCCCCCGGGATGTGGGTCTGGGGTCCCAGGCGCATTTCCTGTAGTCGGCAGGGCGTAGCTTGGCACTCGCACCCCCGGACTGGGGTAGGAATTGGGGGATCCGATGGGGCAGGCAGAGGAAGCGTTGATTCGAGAGTAATTTTTATTAGGGAGAAAAAGTCTATGGCTTGTGCAGGAAGCTTCTTTGGTGCTGCTGTGTAAATTAACAGGTGGAAGGGAGCAGGAGTAAGTGTAAATGAAGCTCAAAGCTGAGGCTCCACAGGCACTGATGGGACTTCTAGACGGCGGAAGAATCCTGGTGTTTACGGGGCATTTCCTATTGCCCAAGGAGTTCTGGTGCCACAGAGGTTAAACGCTCAGCTGTCAACTAAAAAATTGGCGGTCTCACCTCCAGCCACTCCAGGGGAGAAAGATGTGACAGTCTGCTTCAGTAAATATTTATAGCCTTGGAAACACTGTAGGGCAGTACTACTCTGTCTTTTAGGGTCTCTATGAGTTGGAATCGACTTCATCGTCATGGGATTTTTGGTAATCTATGGTCCAGGCTGTTTGGCCTGGGATAGGAAGAAGAACAAGACAAGGGCAGATCAAGTGAGAGAGATAATAAAGTGTAATAAAGTGTATCGGAAGGCTGAAACGAAGTGCAAATGTATGTGGACGCATAAGTTACAGTACTGGGTTATGATAGTGTGCTTTGCCACTTAATGACTGGGCAGGCAAGCCTGACACATATCTACCTATCTAGATACTATCTACCTATTTAGTCTACCTATCTAGACTTCATGTGAAAGTATTTTGTAAACCTCCAAGCACTATGCCAGTGTAAAATGCTTGCCCAACAAATTTATGTAAATTTGTCACATTGCATTGAATCAACAAATACTATTCAGCTCCTGTTATGTCAGTTTGTCCGTACTGTGGTGGCTTGCATGTTGCTTTGAGGCTGGAGGATATGCCACTGGTGTTTCAGATAACAGCAGGGTCACACGTAGTGGACAAGTTTCAGCAGAGCTTCCAGATTAAGACAGACTGGGAAGAAGGAAGGGGCCATCCACTTCCCAAAGAACTGGCCAGTGAAAACCTTGTGAATAGCAGTGAAACACTGTCTGATATATTACTGGAAAACTTTATGAATAGCCCTGAAACACTGTGTGATATAGTGCTGGAAGATGAGCCCCTCAGCTTGGAAGGTATTCAAATTATGACTGGGGAAGAGCTGCCTCCTCAAAGTAGTTGACCTTAACGATGTGGATGCAATAAAGCTTTTGGGACTTTGATTTGCTGTTGGGGCAAGACAGAAAATGGGAAGAAACAGCTGTAAACTTCTATTAATAATCGGAATGTGGAATGTACGAAGTATGAATCTAAGAAAATTGGAAGCTGTCGAAAATGAAATGTAACACGTGAATATCGATATCCTAGGCGTTAGTGAGCTAAAATGGACTGGTATTGGCCATTTTGAATCAGACAGGCATATGGTCTACTATACTTGGAATGATGAAATGAAGAGGAATGGCATCATATTCATTGTCAAAAAGAATATTTCAAGATCTGTCCTGAAGTACAATGCTGTGAGTGATAGGATAATATCCATATGCCTACAAGGAAGACCAGTTAATACTACTATTTTTCAAGTTTATGCACCAACCACTAAGGCCAAAGATGAAGAAATTGAAGACATATATATATATACACACACACATATATATATATATATATATATTTTTTTTTTTTTACAAAATTTGCAGTCTATTGATGATTATTGGTGATTGGAATGCAAACATTGTAAACAAAGAACAATCATCGGTAGTTGGAAAATACGGCCTTGGTGATAGAAATGACTCCTGAGATTGCATGATAGAATTTTGCAAGACCAATGACTTATTCGTTGCAGATACCCCTTTTCAGCAACATAAACAGTGGCTATCCACGTGGACCTCACCAGAAGGAATACACAGAAATCAGACCTATTACATCTGTGGAAAGAGGCAATGGAGAAGCTCAGTTTCAGTCAAAATAAGGCCAGGAACTGAGTATAGAACAGAGCATCCATTGCTTATATGCAAGTTGAAGCTGAAGACAATTAAAACAAGTCCATGAGAACCAAAATATGACATTTATTACACCCAACCTGAATTTAGAGACCATTTGAAGAATAGAGTTGATGTATTAAACACCAGTGACTAAAAACCAGATGAGTTGTGAGATGATATGAAGCACATCATACATAAAGAAAGCAAAAGGTCATTAAAAAGACAGGAAAGGAAGAAAAGACCAAAATGGATGTCAGAAGACACTCTGAAACTTGCTCTTCAGCAGAGGTAAAGCAAATGGAAGACATGGCAAGATAAAAGAGTTGAACAGAAGATTTCAAAGAGCAGCTTGAAAAGACAAAGTATTATAATGAAATGTGAAAAGACCTGGAATTAGAAAGAAAATCAGAAGCATTTCTCAAGCTGGAAGAACTGAAGGAAAAACTCAAGCCTCAAGTGGCAATATTGAAGAATAATGTGTGCAAAATACTGAATGATGTAGGAACCATCAAAGGAAAATAGAAGGAATGCACAGAGTCACTGTATCAAAAAGAATTGGTTAATGTTCAACTATTTCAGGACTTGGCATATGATCAAGAACTGATGGCACCGGGAAGAAGTTGAAGGTGCACTGAAGGAATTGGCAAAAAAAAAAAGGCTCCAGGAATTGATGGGATACCCATTGAGATGTTTCAACAAACAGATGCAACTCTGGAGGTGCTTAGTCATTTATGCCAGGAAATTTGAAAGATCGCTAGCTACCTGGCCAACCAACTGGAAGAGATCCATATTTGTGTCCATTCCAAAGAAAGGTAATCCAACAGAATGTGGAAATTATCAAACAATATCATCAATATCACATGCACGTAAAGTTTTCCTGACAGAAAAATACATGCTAATGGATGTATGAGGATCTTTAGCATAGCATTTTGGTAATTTAAAAAAGAGACTGGTTAAAAGCCATCTTATGGAATACTGTCTAGCTGTTAAGATGAAAGTCAATCTGTTTGTACAGATGTGGATAGATGCCCATGATCCACTGCTGGGTGAGCAATTCAGTTGTAGAACAATGTATGACCCAGTCAAAATAATTTTTTTTTTTTTTGGTATGTGTTTGTATACTGTGTTTGTATAGAAAAGATCTGGAAGAATATTCCAGAATTTTAATATGATTACATTTGGAGAGTGGCATTTGGAGGGAGAAAGAAATCCTTTTGTACTTTATATATTTTGTATAAATATATACAAGTGTGTGTCATTTTTTGTAATTAGAGATTTAAACAGACTTTGAGGAAGTTCTTAGACTGTGTGCCATTTTGGATGTTTGTAAGCTTGTGTACTAATTAGTCCCAAGATGTCTTTTAAATGTTTGTCCATTCACATTGCCTGTTTTTGGAATTGCCAGGTGATTAAACCAGGAGTGAACCACTTGATGCGAGGTGAGCCAGTTTTCTAGCTGGCCTTTGGTTTCAGAATTTGAACAGGAACTAAAACTCTGTTGATGATAGTCTTCATAACTTTCCTGGCTCTGCTCTTGCTCAAGCCTGGTTAGTCAACTTTTTCTTGGTATTCTTGAGAGACTCCAGCATTGTTTAATGAACTTGCTTCATTTTCTCAGTCTGGGCACACAAGACAACTACCTTTCCCAGGCTCTTTTCTGTTGGCCTGGGGCCTGTGACTTGAAAGTTTAATAAGCTATTTCTGGGCCTGCCATAAAATATATTCTGTGCCATTTTCCCTTCTCTCTTTTACCTTTCTTGATGACTGCACAGGCTACGAGTTGAGATGTAGAAACATAAGAAGCATGAGTCACAGCATGGAGGAGAGCTGCTCTGGAGCATTAGATTTAATGGGAGCAAGAAGTAAATCTGTACTGCGTTTAGTCACTTAGTGCTTCTCCAACTTTAATGCACATATGAATCACCTGAGGATCTTATTAAAGTGCAGATTCTGATCAGTGAGATTTGGGTTAGGGTCTGAGATTTTTCATTTCTAACAGATTCTCAGGTGATGCAAATGCTGCTGGTCCACTGATCACATGAGTAACACTTAAAAGGGTTGACAGTGGTAGCTGGGCGCTATCTAGTTCTTCTGGTCTCACAGTTGTACAGGCTGAGGATGGCATGGTGTTCCAGTCCCTTGGACTAATTGTTTCCATGTGTCTTTAGTGTTCTTCATTGTTCTTTGCTCTGGACGAGGAGAGACCCATTGTTGCATCTAAATGGCTGCTTGCAAGCTTTTAAGATCCCAGTGACTATTCATCAAAGTAGAAAGTGGAGCAATGTTTTTGTATAGTATGTTATACCAATTGAGCTTGACGTCCCCTGCGATTATGGTCCTGAGCCCACAGGTCCAATTACTCGCTCCCTCTGGGTAGCTGGCTGTGGCCAAGAAGTGATTACAACCTTGTCCTTTGTTAGCTTTACTATGTACCTGGGAATTCTTACAGAACATGAAAATATACTTGTAGAAACATTGTCTGCCAACCCTATACATGGTCATGGGTGCATCTCTCCCCCCCCCCCTGCATAGACATGTCTAATAGTGCAGTCTGTCCACCCATCTATCCACTCCTAGGTCAATGTTTGCCATCACTGAAAAGGCAGTACTGTCTGTACAAAAGGGTTCATCTTTGTTGTCTGTACCTCCTATGCACCTCTCTGTGTCTTCCTCTTCCTCAGTGCCACTGTGTTGATCACTCTCATTTGGTATATTGCCCTTCTCTTCACCCAAATCAGTACTTGTCTCTACCTATCTAGCAGTGTTCCCTTCCCTCCCCTC